AGGATATTTGAACAGTAAAGCCCTGGGAAGCTGCCATCCTCGCAAACAACACAACTGGAATCTTAAAAATTTGAAATAAAGGCAAAAAATTTAGTATGAGTTGGGAGACAAAAAAAGACATCGTCATGAAGCAATAAAAAACAAATGAATATTTCACATTTATTTTGAAAATATTTTAGAAAATATAAAACTGAGTTCATAGGTTACGTCCGGGTGTTTGCTTCAGAAAACTAGTATTAGGTTTTTAAAACATTGCTAACAGCAAGAATTCCTCAGTACAAACAGCCAAATGATTCATGAAATTGATGCTAGACATGATTCTGTGAAAGATACCCATCCATTCATTATCTTCTATGGAAATTGAAGCCATGATTCCAAAATGATAACAAGTTACTGTGCTGAATATGCTAACCACAAAAAACCAACTGGAAAATTCCTGTTTTGTCAGTATAGATACTGAAACAAATTATATAGATTTTCAACAAGAACACTGTCCCCACTCAACCATTACAGAAAAAGCTTTAACAAATAATTTCATGTAAAACCATAAACATACAGAGATTCATAGTTAAAATTTTATATTTTCTAAGAAAAGTTCTTAAGCATAGGATAGTTGAGAAGTACATACTCTCTAATAAAATGAATAAATAAAAGAGAAACAAAAGAAATAGATCTCAGTGGCATCTGTTCAAATTAAAGTTAAATTAGACAACAAGAAAAAGAAATTACCACTTCATGAATTTTAGAAGATTGATAAAGCTTCGTATCCTCAGGCCAATCCATTCTATGAAGTGAATCTGTAGCAGAATGGGCGCCAGAATCAACTGAGCTTCTTGCAGATACAAATACAAGAAACTTTCCATCTGGGCTGGTAGAAAATTAATGCATAGGAATCAAGATCATAGAAATCAAATTCACGCTCATATTACTGATAAGTTTTGCTTAACTTTCAGGAAAAAAAAGAGAGATGCATGTGACTAAAACTGACAAGTGATGATGTGTACAATTTTAGAAGGTAACTAAACTTTCAGGAGAAAGTTTGAGATGATTTGGACAGCTTGTAATCAGCAATATTTCTCACACGTCTTACAAGAAGACATTCATAATAGAGAATGTAATGTAAGTTTCAAGGAATATATGCCTCAAAGATTACTTTCAATTTCTCCAAAAATTGGCAGTTGGTACACAGGTCTAGGGAAAGTCGGTGCAAAAGATTACTCTTATAGAAGTAACCTTACAAGGAAAAAATATATATAATAATGGAGAATCTAATGTCTGTTTCAAGGAATATATGCTTCAAAGATTACTTTCATATTCTCCAAATACGGGTAGTTGACAGACATTAATTCACATGCTTATTACTAATAACTCATTGCTTAAATTTCAAATAGAAGAAAAAGATGAACTACTTCCACATGACTAAAACAGATAAGTGATGACATGTTCCATTTTAGAACGTAAGTAATTTTCAGGAAAATGTTTGAGTTATAGTTTCTCACACATCTTACTAGGAAAAACAGATAATGGAGAATGTAATGTAAGTCTCAAGGAATATAGACCTCAGAGAGTAATTTCACATTCTACAAATATAGGCAGTTGACGGAGAATTCTACAGCCTTTTCAAAAGTATAAAAATAAAAAATATAACTTTGTTAAAATGAAATCATTTTGTGTAAAAAGGTATTTATAATGCTTTAGCCACCACACAGTGGCAAGTATCGCTCTCAGATTCTGGAGATTGATAGCCATGAAAATAATCAGCTGAAGCAGTAACCACTTACTTTCACGATTAGTTAACTCTTTTATCATCTTGTCAATCACCTATGATGTAAGTTATGCTGAATCCTGCTAAGAGATTTCATTTTTCACATCATACCCCTATTTTTTTAACATGTACAACAATCGTGCTCATGTGATATTTGTGAAAAAATAAGGGGAACTAGTGTAATGTAATAGTGTAATGCAATTTTTTAAACAATCAAGAGGTGTCCTGTAGGACCCCAAATCGGTGGGGTATTGGGCAAAATCTGAGATAAATACAAGAGTGCGAGTGTAAAATACTCAGACCAATATGTTATATGCACACCAAAAACTGGAAAACTAAAAATTCTACCTTTTTGTGCCTAGGGTGTGGGACTTCGTTTCAGCATGTGAAAAAAATAGAATAAAAGAAAAATGATCCTGGCTATTACCTGAACCGTGGAAAGAAAGCACTGCTTAAGGTTTGAGTTAGGTTAACAGCTTGAACATCTTCAGTTGAGCTACATCAATCAATACACCTTCAAACTTTAGTTCAGCAAAACCAAACTTAATAAAAAGATATTCACCTTCAAAATGAAAGGTAATACAGAAGTCACTTACTACGTCTCAGTTTCATTTGCTTTTGACTCATGGTGTGGTGCTTTAACAGCATATATTGCACATGGCCTGTTATAGCAGTACTTAATACCAAGTTTTCTTGTCTCAAATGACCATCCAACAAAGACCAAATATTGCATAGAGCCTTCGATTGCTGGAGCCCATACAACTTGTCCAACACTCAAAGACTTGTCAATTCCTTTGACGGCCTGTACCTCTCCACTGCAAAATAACTGTTGTAATTAGCATTTCCTGTCTAAAAGGTTACATCACTCATTATCAATTTAACATAAAACCATATATTATTCAAAACCTAGTTATGTCGATGACAAAAAGGGCAGGCTGCCTCTTCCCTGCATACGTCTCTCCCCATTCTTCCTCCCATTCTCCTTGAGCTTTCCAGGTACCACCATCCTTGTCTGAAGAACTACGTTTCTGGTAGCCACCCAGATCATTGAATGTGGGCTTTGCAGGAGCTGGCTCTTCAGCTGCATACGCTATACAAGTTTCATTCAAATTCCAAGAGATCCCCTCAAACCTACAATAACACAAAACAGCAATCCAGCTCATAAATTTTAGCTGGCAACAGAGTTTCGTGCACAAGTTTGATTTGGTGCATTATTGAATAAATTATTGCTCATTTTTCACTTTTTAAAAACTGAGCAATTATTTCTCGAGAAATAAACACTTCCAAACATGTACGTAGGTTTAATATTACTGTCTACCACTACTTTTCACTCTACCTCTGACCTATTTCCAATCGTATCTCCATTTCTATCCTTGTTTTTCTCCATTTCTCTTCATACAAACACTTTTCTTTGCCAATTTTATTTAATCCACTATGGTTCTCTCCTCTCTACAAGACCCTTATAGGAGCTCTATCAGTTAACTTTTAAACAGTTGAAGTACATAATAAGTTAAACTTAGAAGCTCAATTCCTTTTAATTTCGTATCTTCTAATCTGTTATAAATGTCATCTATGAAAAGAGTGTATCCCAAACATAGCTAAAGCAGTATAAGAACCTATTTGAATAAACTACTTCAGAAGCACTTACAGCTATACGAAAAGAAAATAATAACAAATAAATAAAGAAACTTTCTCGAAAATTAAAATTAGTTGATTTATAAGATAAAAAAAATTCATGTTTTAGAAAAGTTAAACTTAGTTTCTACACAAATTAAAATTAGCTTATAAGTTAAATCGTAGAAACTTTATGAGCAAAAGATTATTTTTAAGTTATATTTATTTAAATTTATCTTCTTACTTTTTCTAATATTTGAATAAAAAATTATTCAAACACGCAAAAGAGCAATAATAAGTTTACCATCCATCAGTGTACACAGAACCGTGCTTAGATTGAGGGACATGGAACTCCTTTTCCAGTTGAGAGGAGCTCCAAATTTCAAAGCGGCAAGGACCTTCATTCTCGGGATTCCGAACAATCAGCAGCTTGGAGGCAGAAGGCGACGGAACCATGGCGGAGACTCCGCTCAATTCGATCGGAAAGGGAGCCCAGTGAAACGCAACGGTGCCGTCGCTTTGTCTGAGCAGGGAAGCGGAGAGGATGGACTTCTTCCTCTTGTTGGTCAAAAGGTTGGGTTGACTAACGCAAAACATTGCCTGCGAAGCCAAGCCTGCCATGCAAAACGAAACAAAAATGGTGAGCAATGGGAAGTGAAGTGAAACATGAAGGGAATTGGTGTGGATGAAACTGACCGGCGTGGGGGTTGAAGAGCCATGCCTTGTCGACGGAGGGGATGGCGGTGAATTGGTGGAGCAGGTCGGAGTGAAAGGCGTATTCCTGCTCCGTGGCTTGGTTTTCGTCTTCCATTGGTGAAAGTGGTGAAAACGAAAACCTTCTTCTGCAACAGATTGAAGCTAATAGAATGAACGAATGAATGAATGAATAACGAAATGGGTGATTAGGGAAGAAAATGTTACGCAGTGAGGGGAAGCGTTGTTGGAGTTGGAGTGATGAGCGTTGACAATGAACAAATTGGATTACGATTAAGATTTGGAAGATAAAGTGGGAAAAACAAAGATGGTGCTACTCTTCCACACCAATTACAGACGCTGGGTGTTCTACCAAACATGCTGCATATTTTAACACAGATTTTTTATCAAGACGCAAATGTGATTTCTTTTATTGGATTTAAAATACATTATCATAATAATAAATAAGCAATAAACCAGTAAAGAAAATAATATGTATATTGTGTTAAAGTTGTGAAAAAAAAAAAAATATATATATATATATATATATATATATATATATGATTATTTGAAATATATATTTTTACTTCACAATGTTACATAATCTTATTTTAATTTTTGGTATTGAAAGATATTTTTGTTGTGTTTCATTTATATAGTATGTTTTTATTTGTTAGAAAAATTAATAGTGTAGAAAAATACTTTACAAGTATATAAGTATGCAATAGATATTTCTGTAGTGATTTAAACGTGAAAATTTAGCACAAAGAAAAAATAATTTAACTTATACAATAAAATTAAAAACTCAATTTTGTTTCACTTGTAAAATTAATAAATATTTTGATTGTTTGAAATTTTATTCATATGTAATTATATAATATTTATATAATGATTTCATTTTTATCTAATTATTGTTTATACTTTGATAAAATATATCCACATATCTCATAGTCCCCTAGTATGCTAGTGAAAATTAAGGGGAATAGGAAAAATAAATAAAATATATCGACACCATTATTTCCAACACATTTCTAGCAGAGGGTGACAAACAGGCTTGTCCTCATTTTTATTATCACAAACAGTTGGTGGCTCTTTTAATCCTTCATGGCTCTGTCCATTACTTGAGCGTTTAGGTCTTCAGGAAATCTCGTGATTCGCTTGCCCCGTATATGCAGTACTTGTTGAACCACACCCCAATGTTAAGGAAAGATTCCAAGTCAGATTGTGGCCTGCAAAAATATAACAGAAAATAAGTTAAAAACAGGAGTGATTCTCTAATTCCAGTAGGTTGTCTACCTTTTCAGTGCATGAACATCATTTTGAAACATAATGATCTTGACATCTACACCTTTCTCCTTCAAAGCCCGAGCATACTGCACATTTAAACATTTCAACTTTTACTGTCAATAGTACCAATAAAGATGGTAACTCCTCACTGTGACTATCCAAAAGCTACTAAGTACTTACTTGCAACCCATCATACATTGGAACACGAACATCTTGGGCACCTAATAGGAATAGTGTTGGTGCTTTTACCTGCATAACTCATCAAAATACAAACTATCGTTCCAGAATTCAGCTGTAAGATGGACAAAAAAAAAAACTACCATCTTAAGAGCTCCATCAGTCCATGTGATACTATATAAAGTACTTCATATACAGAATCAATAGAAAGGACACAAAGGATAAAAGGAGATGAAATTTAAGCTTCATTGCAAGTGAAAAAAATAGGGTCCACTCAGTTTGCTCAAAAGCTTAACAACGTTGCAGGGAGTATCATCGGTAACAGAAGTAATGAGATGCCTATGCCTCTACATTCTTATATTGCAATGAGCAAAGGGTTTTTTATGGTTTACTTTTTAATGATCAAGGTAGATTTCTTTTTTCAATATGGTTTTGTTGAGAGCTCTTATAAATACCGGCGAAATTCAATCTGCAAGTGTTTATTCAGCTCAATGTACATACCTTTGAGACGTGTGAAATGGGAGACTTGTTATAAAGGAGAGTCAAATCATCTGCGGAAGGTGGTTCAGTAAAGCAATTTCTGGCAGTGGTTCCACAAGCTTCTACATAGCACCAATCAGGGATATCTGTTGTTCCAATCATCAGTGCAAGGTTACAAACAGGATTGATTGCAGCCGCTGCTACAAACTTGTCTGGTGCCTGCAGCAAATGCAGAGTTCGTATGTTACAGCAAATTGATAATGCAACATGTGAGACAAAAACATCTATTAAGTGGAGTTATTGCACCTGGCCAATCAACTGAGTTGTCAGAAAACCACCATGTGAAATGCCCATTACTGTAATCTTAGATGGGCTGGCAAGACCCAAGTTGATGACATGATCTATGGCAGAGAGAACATCATTGACATCCTATATATGAAAAACTAAAATTAAGGTCCGACCCAGAAAATCTAGCGTATCTATATTGCTAAACTAGCTTATAAATTAAAGCTTTGCTTCTATAGCATAAGCTAATCAAAGTATTTAGCGTCAGAAGTAGAACATAATAAATACCTGAGACCCAACATTCCCTGGAAGAGATTGCAATGCTTCCTCACCAAATCCCAATGAACCTCTGAGAAATAATAACATTATATGAAACCTCAGAATGGACAACTAAAAACATTCTTTATCCATGTTTTGACATCTAAAGGTTCTATAAGCTATACGTGGTCATAATGAGTTTCCTTATGAATGTTGACAATGACATTTATTTCTCTAGAAAAGCAGTCCGAGTAGTGCAAACTTTTAAAAAATATAAATTAAGATGCATATGGAGAATGAAAGACTTGTGTCCAGGAAATTTTATCGAAGTATAATTATTCAGAGTCCTTATAGCATAACAAAAAATTGACCAGCCTTTCACTTTCAACTCCTCAGCGTTTACCATTATGAAGTCTAACTAAACCCTAAACATCCTTCTGTTCACAATTCCCATAATTCATTTCAATTTCTAAATTCCTAATGTAGCTCTTACAGATAGGTATCCACATTTATTTCCCATTCCAATATCAGACTGAGTATTTTTTATTTTTTACTTCATGGGGAAGCTATTTAAACTTCATATATGCTAACATTCTCGTTTAAACTCTATAAACTTATCCTGCAAAGAGTCGTGTTCTTTATTTTCTCTGGTATCTAGTGTAAACTTGCTTCCTTTTCTAAGGATTCAAATGATAGGATCTACAACCAATCCTCTTTGACAGGTACTTCGAGCTAATGAAGTCAATTAAGCTTGTTTTGCATAAAAAAGGCAATAGTCTTACATCCTTTTTTAGGAGTTAAAAGCATAAATAAGTTTCATGTCCTCAATATGTGACCAACTTTTGTTACCAATAATTTCTCTTTTCAAATTAGGTACCTAATAATTTAAAATATTTAAGTTTATGATGTTAGTTCCATCTCTCTTGGCATAACAATACTGAACCAAACTAATGATTGGAAGTTCAAGAGTATTTTGGCTACCTGTAATTTACAATCAGCAAGCTGTATCCAACTGTAGATAGAAAAGCCAAATACTTAGAAAAGTATGACAAAGAGACGTCTTGGGGCCCTCCATGAAGGATCACAATTAACGGATCAAATTCAATCTTGGTATTGGTTTTAGAAGACACAAATATAGCTTCAAAAGGTTTTGTAGCACCTGAAATTAAAATTAAAATAGATAGATATAATAGTCAATTGACTGGTCAATAAATTTGAGAAGATTTATTGATAGGGCGTAATTAATAAGTGTGTTCCTGAAGTACCGTATCACCAAATAAGTGGTTGCATTGTACAAGACAATCTTCATCAATTTATCAAGTCAAATATTTTCAATAGTCACATACCACAAAGTTCTTTTATGCTCTCTGTTAAATGGTTGTTTATACATAGCCCCCTTATAGTGAACATATAAACTAAAGCTTCATTTCTACTTTCTTGTTTCTTTGTCAATAAAATCAAGATTTTATGCAAGATATAATACATAGTATTATCTTCATGCACCAATCAAAAGCTAACTTTTGTTCATTTTCCCTTTTAGGAGAGGACATGGTGGGGACAGTGCATGTTGGGGAGAGTGGAGGGAACAATCACAGTATGATTTTCAATAGTGAATTTAGTCCCATATGTTTAAATTTCATCACATGAATCAGATTAATTCACCTCATTATTGACGAGCAGTATATGGATTGAATTTCATAAATCTAATAGGATACCTTATCAGTTGGATTCTGAGAATACACAGATACAAATTAAAGCATATCTGAAATTTCATTAAGTCATTCAACTTAGCACTGAATATCCACGAGAAAGAAAACGGAATAACTTGAAAACCTTTTGTTTGACCAACATGAGCATCCTTAACTGAGATCCTCAGTATACAAGACTGGAGAGAGGACAGCAAAGATCTAACCTGCAGCCAAAATCCTATGATTCGCTTCTAAATAGAATGACATATGTTTGCAACAATGATTTCTGATAATATCTGACAAGAAAATAGAACAAACCTTGTCAGAGCATCTGAATATGGGACTGGATATATTTGACCAACTCCATGTAGTATTGTTTGTCTCCTTCTTAATGGCCTTTCCATACCTTAATTGAGCAAAATCAACCGGACTGCTGGAAACTGCAAAAGGATTAACAAAGAAAAACGATAAAACATATTCCTCAACTTCAAAAGTCCCAGGTATTGACAAATTGAGCAGTTGTTTTTACTGGCAACAATATTGTTCCCATCCAGCGTAAGAAGATTCCACGAGAAAATTGGATCTACAGGGCTGATATGTACTATCTCCCCACTATAATGTGATGAAAAAAGAATTGATAATAAAGAATACACAACCTTTGATAAATGGAATAAAAAACATTCCTGTTGTTATTTACTTACCTCAGCAAATTCACTGAGAGCAGAACTTCACTGCTGTGCCAGATGGATGATATAATCATTGTGCAGTTGTCAGATAACCAAGGATTACTATGAATAGTGGTACAATAAAGCCCAGGGAAGCAACCGTCTTCAGCGCACATCACAACAGGAATCTCCAAAATTGATTGAAAAGACTGAGTTATTAACCGAAAACAATATGCACTAATTGACATATGCTTAGATCTCACTAAGAGAAGGGGTAGGATGAAGAAGAGAAAAGAATCTTATTTATAGCACCAAGTATCATATGATGTTTTGTTTTGTAAAATAGCAAGGATCCTCAATACTAACATAAACAATCTGAAAATCACAAATGAAAAACTACATGGCCTATGTGATCCAAAAACTTAGACTTGAATCCAGTGTATTTAATAAATGAACTAGATGAGAAAGTAACAAAAAGGTTCACTCTAAGTTATTAAAGAATGCAGTTAAACCAAATACATTAAAATCAAACTGGCCACATAGGAAGATCTTACGATGTCGTCAATTTTGGAAGATTGGAAAGGTTTTCCATTAGTTAGCCAATCAATTCTGTGAAGTGAATTTGTAGCATTATGCACTCCAGAGTCCACAGCACTTCTTGCAGATAAAAACACAAGAAATTTTCCATCTGGACTGGTGGAAAATTCATGAACAACGGTCAGAATATTAAGAACACNTTTGGATCTACAGGGCTGATATGTACTATCTCCCCACTATAATGTGATGAAAAAAGAATTGATAATAAAGAATACACAACCTTTGATAAATGGAATAAAAAACATTCCTGTTGTTATTTACTTACCTCAGCAAATTCACTGAGAGCAGAACTTCACTGCTGTGCCAGATGGATGATATAATCATTGTGCAGTTGTCAGATAACCAAGGATTACTATGAATAGTGGTACAATAAAGCCCAGGGAAGCAACCGTCTTCAGCGCACATCACAACAGGAATCTCCAAAATTGATTGAAAAGACTGAGTTATTAACCGAAAACAATATGCACTAATTGACATATGCTTAGATCTCACTAAGAGAAGGGGTAGGATGAAGAAGAGAAAAGAATCTTATTTATAGCACCAAGTATCATATGATGTTTTGTTTTGTAAAATAGCAAGGATCCTCAATACTAACATAAACAATCTGAAAATCACAAATGAAAAACTACATGGCCTATGTGATCCAAGAACTTAGACTTGAATCCAGTGTATTTAATAAATGAACTAGATGAGAAAGTAACAAAAAGGTTCACTCTAAGTTATTAAAGAATGCAGTTAAACCAAATACATTAAAATCAAACTGGCCACATAGGAAGATCTTACGATGTCGTCAATTTTGGAAGATTGGAAAGGTTTTCCATTAGTTAGCCAATCAATTCTGTGAAGTGAATTTGTAGCATTATGCACTCCAGAGTCCACAGCACTTCTTGCAGATAAAAACACAAGAAATTTTCCATCTGGACTGGTGGAAAATTCATGAACAACGGTCAGAATATTAAGAACACAACTCATGTTCCAATATTTCTCAACAACTAATATACTTTCATGAGCTAATATTTGATTAACTTCAGACAAGTCACTTTGTTCATATAAAAGATTAGAAAACAATGACCACGGGAAAGTGAGAAGACACGTTGTTATAAGAAAGGAACAGAAAAAAAATAAATTTAATCCAGAGTACAAAAACTTGGATTATTTCTGCAGTAATCAGGTACAAGCATCCATGCTATAATATAAAATTTCTAACTGGAAAAATATGATGTGTGACTGCAAAATGTGGAAACTATCTAAAATTATTGAGCTAAAGAAGCTCAAATAGGTCCAATATGTGACCAACAACATCGAAGGCAGCACAAACTGACACTGATTTCTGACCAGTTAAATTATGCCAACCTTTCAGCTTTGACTAACAAAGAATGAATCGTGACTAACACTACTGACTACACTAAGTTGCTGCTTAATAAACCAATCATTTGAATTTTCGAAAGGAAAACTAGTGTTATGTGATTAAATTAACTTATGAGTACAAGATGATTTACCACGTTGGCAACTTACTTGACTTGGATAAAAGAAATAACAGTAAATAGTTTTTTGTAGAAGAACCTTTATACATCCCTCACTAACAAAACAGTAATACCCTTTGTTTCAATCATAAAGGCATGTAAGTTTCAAGTAACCTTTTTCATATCTTCCAATTCTCTGAAAATAAGCCATGACATCTCAAAAACTTGAAAATTAAAAACACAAAAATAAAACTTCAGGAAAAGAAAAAGAAACCTATCCTTTGGCTACAACCACCATCCACCAGATCCAAGAATTTCAAGCCTTACTGCCACTATCTGTTGACTTGACATGATTCGAGATAACAATAACCTTGATCTTTCTGCTAGTCATCTTCATCTTTTGAAATGTTTCCATTTTCTTGTGAACAAAATCACAGTTATACACACCAAAAACTTCATGGAAAAATGTTTTCCACTCTCAAGATTTTGAAACAAGTGAAGATTAATCAATACTAGCACAACCAAAACCTAATAACTATTGGACAAAAAGTCTTAAAACATGTGATTTGACCGGTGAACAGCCTACCTGAACCGTGGAAAGAATGCACTGCTTATAGTTTGAGTAAGGTTCAGCACATGAAATTCTTCAGTTGACCTACATGTAAAACATTGTTTTCATAATTCAGTTCAGAAATAACCAACTTTGCAATAAGTAAATACATTCAAATAGGTGTCAAAAAAGAATAAGAGTTGATAAGATCTTACTAATGCGACTTACTGGAGCACTGGTTCATTAGATTTTGAATCATGATGCAGTGCTCTAAGTCTAACAGCATATAATCCGCAAGGTCTGTTAGAGCAATACTTAATGCCAAGTTTTCTTGGCTTAGATGACCACCCAACGAAAACAAGGTATTGTTCTGAGCCTTCAGTAAATGGAGCCCATACAACTTGGCCAATACTCAAGGATTTGTCAATTCCTTTGACTTCTTGCACCTCACCACTGTAAAATTAAAATACAAACCAAACTAACATTCCTATATAAGAAACATATCAAAATATTATCCATCATTGAAATGAATGATGAAAAACCTGTTGATGTCGATAACAAATAGTGCAGGCTGTCTCTTTCCAGCATATGTTTCTCCCCAGTCCTCCTCCCAGTCCCCTTGACATTTCCAATAACCTGAATCCTTATCTGCACAGCCATCTATCTTGTAGCCCCCCAAACCATTAAATGTGAGCTTTGCAGGAGAGGGCCCTTCTGCTACGTATGCTACGCATGTTTCATTCATGTTCCACGAGACACCCTCAAACCTAAACCATATAAAATAGGAAAAACGAATGTTCTCATAATGCATGGCACGAAGGGTCTACATTAATGTAGTAATAGTTCAGAAGAGGTTTCCCCTACTAAGTTAAAAATATGAGTACTTACGAAACTAAACAACTAATGAGCTAAAAGGAGTAACAGTTTAACATTGAACAATGCCAAACTATGCTGTGCAGATACAGATACAAGTATTGAATACAATATTATATGATATGATACATAAATATGATATTTTAGAAAAAAAAACAAAAAACTAGGATACAGATATGGCAATATATGTTAACTTAAATATAATTATATTATATATTTCTTAGATTTCCTTTTTCTCTTAATATAGTTAATATTAGTATTGATTTGTCAACTCTGCCTATGTTCACATGATAATCAGTCCCAAAATCAGGTAAAAGAGGAAGGCTATGTTAGATCCTTGATAATTTGTCAAAGCCCGGAATATGGATCATTCACTATAGATTACATGGCCAAAGGTTGTTATCTGGAAGTAACATTATTGTATCAGTATTGATTATTGACCTCTAGCGAAATTTGTCAAAAAGTATTTGTGTATATGTATAATTCAGGCAGTAAGTTTGTCTCAGTCCCAAGAGTGTGTATGTGTATATATGTATAAGTTAGACCGTAAAGATTCAATACAAAGACAGTCATATAATACATGTATTGATATCCGGACACGGATACATAACTGATTTTGAAGTAACCAAGCTTCAAAGGCACAAAAGACATGAATAACATATTACTTACTTACCATCCATCATTGTATACTGAGCCATGCAGTGATTGAGGAATGTGGAACTCCTTCTCCATTCGAGAAGAGCTCCAAATCTGAAAACAACAAGCAGCTTCATTCTCTGGATTTCGAATCACTAAGAGCTTTGAGCCAGATGGTGATGGAACAATCACGGACACGCCAGACATCTCTATTGGAAACGGAGCCCACAGAAAATTCACAGAACTGTTCCTTTCTTTTAGAATGTTACAGGACATGATGGATGTCCTCCTCGTGTTTGTTAAAAGATCTGATTGGGAAACTGCAAACATTCCTTGCAAGTGCAACCCTGGAGCTACAGACAAAAGGGCAAAGTCTCAATTTGGCTAGCAATGCGATGGAACTAGTACAGATCAATGAAATAAATGAACTATGTTTCGATAAACTTCTCAACAATAATTAATGAGAAGAAAACAATAAGAATATAAAATGAAATAAATTCTTCTCCTGAGAGCTAAAATTAGCTGATGCATGAATTGCTTCACAAAAAGCTCTCTCATTTAGTTTCTTCATCTGATTTTAACTTCTGTGGGTTATTTCTATTTTTCTCCCTTTAGTATAATTGAAAAGTTCATTGCTTTTCAAAGAAAGCAACAAAGGAGACTTACAGCTAAAAAGCCATGCCTTGTCAATGTTGGGAATACTGGTGAACTCTTGAAGTAAGCTAGAAAGGTGGGCATAGTCATCCTCAGCTTCCTTATGCATTTCCAAGCCTGAAACAAAACCACCAAAGATCATTGCAATTAGCTTGCTAGTTGCTTCATAAAGGAAAAATACACTTTTGTTTCTTCAACAATGCAGATTAGCTTACAGGGGATCAACACCTTGGTACATAAAAGATGAGAAATAATATAGTGAAGAACATGAATGAACAGTGGCATTAGTTAGTGAAGTATAAAAGGGTGGCAATTGGTAAGCAATACAGGGGAGAGAAAACGTTTTTTTATTTATACAGAGAATGAAAAAATAAATACATTGGAAGACGAGCTGATGCTAAAAGGAAGTTGTACTGAATGCATCAGGATTTAGTATGGAAGTGGGTAGTGAGGAGAGAGTATGAATGGTACCTTTGATTGGTGTAAACTGTGTGAGTGAGTGGAGTATTAAATGCAATCAAAGGAAGAAACAGAACTCTGTTTAAGTTTGATGGAAAGAGAGAAACATAGGTTTTTGTAGTGTGTCTTGTTTGACTCCGAAAACAGAGAGAGCAGAACGGTGAAATTAAGAATAATGAATTTTTTTGTTTTTTCTGAAGGTGGATATTATTTTATCCGAAAAGACATATCTATTATACTTTTATATTTGTAATGTACAAAATACTTTTTTCTTTAAAAAGCCTTGTCTTTGTCTTGTATAGGTACTTTTAATAATTTATTTTTCTTTAACTATTCAAAAGTTTTAATTCATTTATGAAGTTTTATTACTAACAAGAATCCAACGTCCAATAGACATATATATACACATATGGCTTAAACTCGTATAGAATAACAAGTTGATAAGATAATTGAATATAAAACTAAAGTGTGTTGTTTGTGTGGAGCATGTTATATAGGATGAGATAGATAGATAGACGGACAGAGAAGAAAGAAAAGCAGAGATGGCAGTGTGTTCCTCACTCTCACTTCTCCCTCCCATTCCTTCTCAACCCAAAACATTCTCGTTTTCTCAAACACCACTCACAAAGATCTTCACCAACGGTAACACCCCAACAAGATTCTTGTTGAATGCTGGTTTCAACGAGATAGAGCCTGACCTCAATGAAGATCCTAAAGACGTATATGCTACCAATGGAATTGATGCTGTATATCTTCTCGACCATTCTTCTGTTTTCTTCTCTTTTCTTCTGCCCTTTTGCTTCCACCGTCACTTTCACTTCTTTCATGCCAATTTCAGGATGATTTTGAGTATGGAATTTATGATGACCATCACACTTACTTTGAAGGAGAACAGAAAGGTCTGTGTTTTTCATTCTTGCTCCAACTTTCTTTTCATCGCTGTCACAGGACCATGAACAAAAAGATTAAAAAGAATGATTTTATTTGTAGAAATTTGTAAGAGAATTATGGGGTCCATTCTTAGCCTTTTTTCTTGACATCTGAGCATATTCATAAAACACATACAAGTTGAAAATATGATATAGAATAAAACACATACTTTTCAGTTGACAAAGTTGATGATGAATATTCATTTCAGGAACATTTTGGGGTTCAATTATGGAAGAGATAGCAGCAGCAGAACCCCCCACAGGATTCCAGGGTGTGTTTTTGATTATCATTCGCAACATTTTCAATATATATAATGGTCTTTTTTATCTTACTATCATTCATTTTATGCAGGGCTTATGTCATGGCTCTTCCCACCAGCCATTGCTCTTGGGGTGTACTTCAATGTTCCGGTAACAGAATCATCAAATGTTTGAATATAAACAGTGCATTTGCATTGTTAGTTTGCTAACTTTGTATAACTTTCTGACTAACAAGTTTCAATTTTTCAGGGGGAGTATTTGTACATTGCAGCAGGCGTATTTGTAATCGTATTTTGCATTATTGAGATGGATAAACCTGATAAACCCCACCACTTTGAACCTCACATATACAATATGGAAAGAGGAGCTCGAGACAAGTTGATAAATGACTATAATACCATGAACATATGGGAGTTCAATGAAAAATATGGTGACCTGTGGGATACTACTATCCAGAAGGATGACATAACCAAGAGATAATTGTATATATTTCATCACTTATAATGACAATTGATATTTTCTTTTCACTTTTTACTTTTCCCATTTTTCTGTTTCAAGAGGTGTATGTATGTCCCTTTTTTTTACCTTCTTATTTATAAATAGAAACTTAAGTTCTTTCTGATTTTGATTTTCATTCTTTATTCTGAATTGTATGAACTCAAAATTATTGAATATAGAAAACAGTGTTTTTTTTTTCCTTATTTCTTGTGTTTCTAAAGAGGATACTTAAGAATATTGCTGTTCATTTGGACTCAAAAACCTTCATTGATTCTTTGGCCAGCTTTTATAATTCCAGCAAATCCCATCAAACAAATATGATCTCAGCCACTACCCTCTCTAAGGTCAAAAACCAACAGCACACAATCCAACGCCTTTTTCAGGACTTAGGAGCAATCATAAAAGTGTCCTTTTCCATATTATCTAAATAACTTAAATTATTCAGATAAAACTCTAAGTTTGAATAGAAAACAATACCATGTTCAGTGGAAGAATAAAAGTTCAGTGGATGGTCATCGGTATAAACATATTCTATTGTAAAGATTGTTATACTGTGTTAAGTATTGATTTTTCTAATCACCACTTTCATGCATTATATTTTTTACTGCTGAAATACACTGCATTCCATTTCCAATCCTTATCTCTTATTATCAACTTGTGAAGGTCACTTTGGAATGTACATGAGATCACATAGCGGTCCTTGGTTAAATACATCTAACCAAATTGATTTTTCTGCCAAAAACTGTTCGAAAGTTGTGCTATGAGCAAGTCAAGCCATTAAAATTCCAGGTGCCATCTCATCAATAATGGAAGTCTAGATCTAAGGTCAACTTCTAAGACTTTTGGGATCAGGTTTAGTCTAATAAATGACACCAAATTTGACATTATGCCACATGCACTAATTCATTAATTATTAAGCACCTTGAACAACAAGAACTACTGTCCATTTTCTGCATAGTGCAGAGACTCCACTTCTAGTTCTCTACCCGGTTTTACACGTCTGAAATTTCTTCCCACTGAGTCTTCATATTCCCAAACCAAAGATAAGTATGAATTGAAGGTAATAAAATTGAAAACCATTATTATAATATAACGTAATTGACTCAAAGCAAGAAACAAGATTGTGAGCGAGGAGTTGGGATTAAAATACAAGTTTCTGAAGCTTAATCATCAGTTCCCTCAGTTTCAGTCTACAGTATAAATGATATATTCAATTATTAAAAACCAAAACTTTATTATTAGAATCGTGTGGCAGAAGGCAGCTGTAGAAAATGGAACACCCTTTATCAAAAGGAATCTGAACATTCATTGTTCAACCATCTTGACCAGAATTCAGACAAACTTTTCCACACAACACAACATAACTATTAAGAAGAAGAAAAGGAAGAAGACGATGATTCGAATATAAACTCAGAACCCCAAAACAAAACCAACCACCTACACAAACACAATGACACCCCTCAAACTGCATCACTTCCTCCTTCTCATGTTCATCTTCTTCTTCTTCCACTTGCTCCCTTCTTCCCACGCCCAAACGCCACGTCAGGAGAACAACACGGGCTTCACGTGCACGGGCACCCGCACCTGCGCCGCCTACGCCTTCTACCGTGCCTCCGCCCCCAACTTCCTGGACCTGGCGGCCGTGGGCGACCTCTTCGAGGTGAGCCGCCTAATGATAGCCACGCCGAGCAACATCTCCTCCGTGTCCTCTGCCCTGGTCGAAGACCAGCCCCTCTTCGTCCCTCTGACCTGCTCCTGCAACCCCGTGAATGCCACCTTCGGGTCCCTCTCCTACGCCAACATCTCCTACGCCATCCAACCCAACGACACCTTCTTCGTCGTCTCCACCTACAAGTTCAACAACCTCACCACCTACCCTTCCGTCGAAACCGTCAACCCCACCTTGGTCGCCACCAACCTCTCCATCGGCCAGGTCACCATCTTTCCTGTCTTCTGCAAATGCCCCGAAACCAACAACACTAACTATATGATCTCCTACGTTGTGCAACCCGAGGACAACATCTCCTCCATTGCCTCAGCTTTTGGGGTTCAGGAACAGGATATAATTGACGTCAACAACGACACACTCCATGATTACGACACCATTTTCATCCCTGTGGAGCAGCTTCCGTCTCTGTCGCAGCCTGCGGTGGCTCCGGCTGCGCCCCCTGGTGGGAATGGGAGTGACACTGGGAGTGGGAGTGGCAATGATAGAACTGGAACTGTTAGAGGGTTGGGGATTGGGTTGGGGGTGGTGGGGATGTTATTGGTGTTGGTAAGTGGGTTGTGGTTGTGGAGAGAGTTTGTGATGAAGAAAAGGTTGGGATATGAGGATGAGGAGGAGGAGGGAGGGAGGAAGAAGGTGTATTCGGGAGGCAAAGAGGGACAGAAAGGGGATTTGGATGTGAAACTGATGGCAAATGTGTCGGATTGTTTGGACAAGTATAGGGTTTTTGATGTTGAGGAACTGGTGGAGGCCACTAATGGGTTTGATGGAAGGTCCTTGATTGAGGGATCCGTTTACAAAGGGGAGATTGATGGGGAGCTCTTTGCCATCAAGAAGATGAAATGGAATGCCTATGAGGAACTCAAGATCTTGCAGAAGGTAACCACTCACAGCACCAATCTCTTTTCCTTAGTCCTTTTTTCACATTATTGCATATCACTCTTTGTTTGTTCTTCATTTTCATCTGCCATCACTGTAAAGAGTTTTAGCATCATTTGTGGTTGGAATTTGGATTAAGGTGTGGAACTGAATTCTATATCTGTTTGAATCTAATTTTCTGACAAAGTTTGCATTGCTAATCACCTGAAAATTATGGCAAGCTCGACTTTTGAGGAAGTTATTGTACTCTTTGATTTAGAAAAGTGTTATAAAATTTAATAAACTTAAGATTATGGTATTGTTATTGGATGAGAGTAGAAAAACCCTCAACACGTTATGGGTATGAATTAGTTTTTTTTTTAAGAACTTTATTTCCATGCAACATAATCAATCAAAACTTTTTAGTGATGTGTCTCTTAAGACAATTAATGAAAAGATCAGTAACTTGTGCTTAGTTCCTGGTGTTATTCTTGAGACGGCAGAAGCAAATATGCAAGAACAGATTGAAATTTGAAAAAGTCGATGATAAGGTTTGAGTCAAAAGAGCTTTTACTTTGAATAAAATAGGCTGGGAGTTAATAAATATCTTATTGTCGATGATTTAATCAGATGATATTAAGTGAAGTGACTTGTCTGATGAGTAGTCAACCTGCCACTAATTTTTATAATTTAGCATAATCAAACCAAGGGAATAAACCTCTAGATACCTTGGAGATGCAGAATTATTTTAATACTCGGGACAAAAAATGATCGGAATCTGGCTTGAGAATTAATTATTCTGTTGTTGCTGTGCGAACAAACCTTCAGTTGTAAAGCAACTTGTCTGAATGATTTGTAAAACTTTGTCAGACTTTTTATTTTGGTGATTGTCAATGTTCATTATTTTCAGGTTTGTATGTCAGAAACGCGTCAATCTAGAGGAATAAAACAATAGTGGTTGACGGCATAGTTGCTTCTAGGTATTTAATAAAAGATGATTCCAACTTTGTCATATTTTTCAGATCAGGGTTAATTAATATCATAGAGTATGGTGTTAATGATTTAACTAAAAAGCAACACGTCAAGGGCAGTTAAAAGCACAACGAAAGACAAAGTCGCCGCTTACCTTTTTGTCTCTTTCCAAATCATGACAAATTGGTTAATATGAATTCCCATTTGAGCCTTTAGGTAGTGGTTGAATTTAGGTGGTTACATTTCTAATGAACAAGTATATCAAAGTAATAATATAATAGGCTACTCAGTATCCATGTAAATGTTTTAGCACTCGGATGATTATATATGTGCACCATTATTCATGCTTGAATGGTTGATTAGCAAAGTGTCATTTTCTGTGTTGAAGGTAAACCATGGGAATCTTGTGAAGTTGGAGGGATTCTGCATAGACCCAGAAGAAGCAAACTGCTATCTAGTCTATGAATATGTGGAGAATGGATCTCTATACTCGTGGTTGCATGAGGAGAGAAAGGAAAAGTTGAACTGGAAAACAAGGCTAAGAATAGCCGTTGACATTGCCAACGGCCTCCAATACATCCACGAGCACACAAGGCCACGAGTTGTGCACAAAGACATCAAGAGCAGCAACATTCTGTTGGACTACAACAAGAGAGCCAAAATTGCAAATTTTGGGCTTGCAAAGTCTGGAATGAATGCCATCACCATGCACATTGTGGGAACACAGGGCTACATTGCCCCTGAATATCTGGCTGATGGTGTGGTCTCCACAAAGATGGATGTGTTCTCTTTTGGGGTTGTGTTACTTGAACTAATTTCTGGGAAGGAAGCCATTGATAAGGAGGGAAATCTGTTGTGGGAAAGTGCCATCAGAACCTTTGAAGTGGACAGTGAGCAAGAGAAGGCTAGGAGAGTGAGGGAATGGATGGATAAGGACATTTTAAGGGAGACATGTTCAATGGAAAGTTTGATGGGTGTTCTCACTGTTGCAATTGCTTGCTTGCAGAAAGACCAGTCAAAGAGGCCAAGCATAATGGACATTGTCTATGCACTGTGTAAAAGTGAAGATTTGGGCTTTGACATCTCAGATGATGGGTTTGGCTCACCACGGGTGGTGGCTAGGTAGATGGGTTTGGTCAGAGAACCATTTGGATAACTTTATCTGAAGAAATCCATTTGGTTTTTTTGGTGATCTCTAGCTGGTGTACGCTTTTAGGTCTTCTTTTTGCCATGGATATGCTGACCACAGCAAAGGAATTAAAAGACCCTCAATAAGCATTAGGTATTTCTTCCTACATCTCATAAAAATCTACCTTACCTTTTTTTATTCAAATAGGTATTTTCAAATGTAATTTTTACATTTCGGAATACCCATTCTGAAATCAAATATGTTGGAGGTTGATGTTTCTGACGTGTAAAAAGCAACAATAAGTACTCCTCCATGAAATAGGCCTTTCTGAACCAAAATTTTATGAGGAAGAGAAATAATCTTGGACTGTATATCACATGGTTAAGTTGGTTTGGACACATGCTGTAGAACCAACTACTTTTTTTATTTTGTAACAAGGTCGTGTAGTTATATGTACATATATTAAACTGGTGAATGTAATTTTGTGATATAGTAAAAAATGCAACATACGTAGTGTTCTACAATGTTTTTTTTTCAGTATGTAGAAATTGGTTAAACATCATAGTTGAATCTCATCATGCATCTCAGATCGGTTGGGAAATATGTTCTAAAACAGTAAGCTAATTCGTGATAAAAGAAGATTATCGAGCATAAAAACTAAGATTTGAATGATTCAAAAGTTAAATATATTTTTAATCATTAAATTATCACGTGTTTTTAAGACATGTGTAGTGTGTTTCAGTAATAAATGTAAGATATGTGTAATATCCTTAAAAATAATCATTCATCCATATAATAAGCCTTAAACTGTAGAATATCCTGAGTATTAGTATTGGGGTTAGATTTTTTATTACGATACATAATGTTATTTTTAACGTGTTTATATATGATTTTTAATAAAGAAAAATTAACTTCTTAACCAGTATTTTAAGCAATACCTTAGTTTATATTTTTTTCAAATCTTAAATACAAGTAAATTCAATAAACCCCAAAAGAATTACATTAAGTAGTATTTCAATTACATGAATTTTATTCAAAAATATATATTTTATTTTAAATTACCCTGTCTTGCAACTTGATATAAAGAAATAAGAGATTCATTAAAAGTAATTTTTAATTAAATGAAAACATTTTAAAGATAATTCCATAAAAAAAAGTAAAGTTATTGACTAATAAAAGTCCAACAACACGTTCATATGTAATTTTTTTTACAAAAACAAAATATCAAAATGATACTATTTTACTAAAATTGATAACAATTACGTTTAACTTTTTCTTTTCACAATACACTGTTATGTATTTTATAGATGAATAAAACACCAAAAAATTAAAAATATATGATGATAATATGTTTAAAACTTAGGTGATAAAATTACAAAATAATCATTAAACCATATATTTTAAATATGAATTCATTGTATAAGGAAAACTTATTTAACTTTTTATCAACCAATCAAACAACGTCGTGTCAACGGATCTTTCTTCAACAACCCTCTTTCAAGTGCATGACACGCACGTTTATTTCATTCACACCACAATTCATTATTAAAAAAGATAAAATGGTTAAACCAAAATTAGTAATGTCTCTTTACGTATCAAACAGGTTCCAAAACATGTGACACAATTTTTTACAACAATAATAAATTTCTCTGGAGGATAAACTTATTCATTTTTGCACTTACTTTAGGTTTTAGAAATGTGAAGTTTATAGTGATGTAATGATTGGTTCAGCTTTTCATTCATAATTTCCAGACAAACGGTATCTTCAGTAAATCTTGTATCTTTCGTGTTTCTTTCTACAACTCGAACCTCTCAAACAAAAATAATAATGTGAGAACAGTAAAACATGTAATTAAGTTTTTTTTTACTAATGCTATGCTAGCGTGTGGGTGAGTCACTGTTTACAAATATTGGTAAAGACGGATTCGTAGATAAAATTATGTTTGATTTTACGTATTTAAAAGTAAGAGAAGGCAAGGATTTGCGAAATTGAGTGATTTTTGAGTTTTTCATTAACTGATTTGAGTGTATTATATATGAAAATATATTTTTATTCACAACATTTTTTAGTTCACATATATTTTATTCTTTCGTCCAAACAGAGAATTTCCATACTCATGAGTCACGTAAAGAGATTTCTTATATGAATGAGCACACAGTTTTCTTTTGAAATTTTTTGACTAGATTGTGTTCAACGAACCATTAAATATGACCAAGTTAATTGGTATAGGTAGTTGGAGAGTGTATAAATGTTAAGACGTGTAGAAGTTGACCAAGTTGTTAGCAAGCACAAATGAGGCTAAGAGCACCTGTCACTTAAGTTATCCATTGAATCACCAATGTCAGAACGTCCCGCTCATTGTATCGTGCTTATGTTCTTCCAACATAAGCAAAAGTTCGTCCTTGTGTACAATCTTTGGCTTTTTACCCTTCTCCACAAAAAAAACTCCCTCTGATACCCTTTCATCTTCAACTTGGACCATAGGCATTAAGCTCTTGCCTATCGTAGTAGAGTTACATGCGTCCGCAGAACTACATTTCTGAAATGTGAAGTTTGGACTCAAGCAGCTTCGAATGAAAGTGTCTGAGGCTTCTGCATTTACAGAGTGAGTTGAAGAAATGCATATGGTTTCATTGTTTGCAGGATCATAACATTGAATCCCAAATTCAGAATGAATCTTTTCTTTAAGGGAAGCCATCTTATGCTTCTCTCCATGCACTAGAATAACGTGCTTGGGGGTGAGAAAATTTACAAGATCCATTATCCCTTTAGAATCAGTGTGAGGACTAAAAGCTAATTGATGAACCTGCCAATTTAAGACGAGTAGAAGTTATACCAGAAACTAGAAGAAATGACGCAGTTACCTTCAATGCTAATTTGTACAATATAGCAGAAGACTACAAGGCTTTCTTGTTTTTGGATATTCAAGCAATTCAAGACTAGAAAGACACTAATTTAAATTTAAGCAGTATTACAATATCATCTTGGTCTTATTTTTATAGCAAACAAGTCTTCAAAACCAAATTTCAAGATAATAGGAGGAACATTGATAGGTGACAGCGACATAGATTAGTTGAAGTGGAACATGAAACTTAAAATCAGTTTATGCCCAGTGTACCAATATCAACTCAAGAAGAGGACAAAATTTTCTATTACAGAACAGAGAAGTGAAAGAAGAAATATGGTTTCAGTTGTATATTAATATGAAAAAGGTCATGTCAGAAGCATACTCATCATCTCAAACACCAAGCTCAGGAAATTAGACTAATGTAATACTCTGAAAGTCAAGATGTTTATTCTCCTAATTTCAACGTGCAAATTTATCAACTTGTACATGCTGTTAACTCTGTTTCTACCCATGCCATGTGAAGCATCTTTAAACTGGAGTTCGTAAAAATAATGAATTGCTAGATATATCTCCCTGTAATTGGGTAGGGAATAATATTTACCTGGCATCGCACATCTATTCTTGTATTAGCATCCAGATCAACTTTGGCCCGCTTATCTGACATTAATTTATGACCTATCGTTCCAGCCACACAATACCTACAAGAGTACAAAGTAACTGACTAGCAGAATACAACTGGTTTGCGAATATATGAAAATGGAATAGATCAATCATACTTTTCTGGTATACATTCATACATATTTTGCTTAAAAAGAAAAAGAATACTAAGAGACAGTAAAACGAATGGCAAAGGAAAGTCTCTCCATGCACAGAATACATGTAGTGCCATGGTGTAGAATGCAGAAAGACAGAACCATGAAATAAATAAAAAATAAAACATAAAAACTATACATGAGAGAAAACACAAAAATCCGTAGTTACACCTAAAAGCAATACCAACTTCCACTAATATGACACCTTGTTTCCCCTCAAATTCTCACCAATCTTTACCTTGTGCTCCTTCGCCTTATCCACAACTTTCTGTCACTGTTTTTATTATTTTTCCTTCCTCTTTTTTACTTGTCTAATTATTTTACCGAAGTCCTTTCTTTGCACAAAATCTGTAGTTTTATTTTCTTTTAATTGAAAATAAATGATATAGAAATTGAAATTATATTTTGATTATCAAAAAGTAGTTAGATTCTTTATTTGTCAAGCATGACAACCAACAGTTACAATTTTGAATAGTCTCTCTCAAATATTAGGGTAGAATTGAATAATTTTATTACTAAGAGTACATAAGATAGGAAAACTGATTTTGGGAATATAATAATAACACTTGATGTANATTTTCTATTACAGAACAGAGAAGTGAAAGAAGAAATATGGTTTCAGTTGTATATTAATATGAAAAAGGTCATGTCAGAAGCATACTCATCATCTCAAACACCAAGCTCAGGAAATTAGACTAATGTAATACTCTGAAAGTCAAGATGTTTATTCTCCTAATTTCAACGTGCAAATTTATCAACTTGTACATGCTGTTAACTCTGTTTCTACCCATGCCATGTGAAGCATCTTTAAACTGGAGTTCGTAAAAATAATGAATTGCTAGATATATCTCCCTGTAATTGGGTAGGGAATAATATTTACCTGGCATCGCACATCTATTCTTGTATTAGCATCCAGATCAACTTTGGCCCGCTTATCTGACATTAATTTATGACCTATCGTTCCAGCCACACAATACCTACAAGAGTACAAAGTAACTGACTAGCAGAATACAACTGGTTTGCGAATATATGAAAATGGAATAGATCAATCATACTTTTCTGGTATACATTCATACATATTTTGCTTAAAAAGAAAAAGAATACTAAGAGACAGTAAAACGAATGGCAAAGGAAAGTCTCTCCATGCACAGAATACATGTAGTGCCATGGTGTAGAATGCAGAAAGACAGAACCATGAAATAAATAAAAAATAAAACATAAAAACTATACATGAGAGAAAACACAAAAATCCGTAGTTACACCTAAAAGCAATACCAACTTCCACTAGTATGACACCTTGTTTCCCCTCAAATTCTCACCAATCTTTACCTTGTGCTCCTTCGCCTTATCCACAACTTTCTGTCACTGTTTTTATTATTTTTCCTTCCTCTTTTTTACTTGTCTAATTATTTTACCGAAGTCCTTTCTTTGCACAAAATCTGTAGTTTTATTTTCTTTTAATTGAAAATAAATGATATAGAAATTGAAATTATATTTTGATTATCAAAAAGTAGTTAGATTCTTTATTTGTCAAGCATGACAACCAACAGTTACAATTTTGAATAGTCTCTCTCAAATATTAGGGTAGAATTGAATAATTTTATTACTAAGAGTACATAAGATAGGAAAACTGATTTTGGGAATATAATAATAACACTTGATGTAATCAAATCCCTATTATTCAGGGGTATAACCAGATCCCTATCATTCAGGGATATTTACATCATACACTTATTATAATCTGTTAAAATACGAAATAATAAACTATAATTGCTAACAGTCTCTAATACATTAATTTGAGGAGTTTTCTCTAAATCATGAAACCTCAACCTAGGCTTGCCCCTTCAAGCATTACACATTACGATATATGTTGGTCCATATGCCATCCAATAATAAATGATCTTATCCTTCAATTTTTTTAATTTTTGGGTAAAATGAAGGATTTATGCATGGATGGGCTGAGTAGTTAGTGAGTAAATTGATTTAATTGCAACCAGTAAAATAAATAATATAATGGAAATCGTGAACGTAAAATTTTTAACTTTTATCTAAAACAATCGTGTGAAATAATTCCTATGCTTTTAAAAAACAATTTCACTCGTACACATCCAAAACAATCATTTGCATTTCAATTTCTAAATTTCTTTCCATCCAAAAAATGTGAACCAGTCACTTCCTAGAGTGACATGCTATCACCAATGTATATGCATGTACCAGAAGTTTTAGTCAAGCGTGATATTTATCATTAAAGGGCAGTATTAAAATAGCTTCGTATCCATATACTATTCAATGTGACAAGTTAGTTTTAGGAAACATTTATCTGCATTATGCTCATCGTGCTATCAAGTGGCTAATATAAAGAGAAATAAAGTAAAGAAAAAGAAGAAATAGGATTGTACCCTGGCAAAGTGACAAGGTTATTTTCTGACACTGCCCACTGCTTAAAAACTTCAAGTGAAAATCCACCGCTTATCATCCCAGGAGTCGCGAAAAGAACACAAGGACCAGGAGCATTTATCATAGACCTTTCAAATTTTTGAACTGTAACACCCAAACCAGATGAATGAGACGTAGAACTTATCAGATAATACACATAATTGCAACAAAAGCTCTAATCTTAATTTCTTGAGTTTTCACAAAAAAGTTTCAATATGGATGCATTTGAATAAGTTTGTTTTAAAGTAAAAATAATATATGCCATATTAGCAAAATTTCATATATTTCCCCATGATACTCCATTAGGACTTCTACTTTTACTACTCCAGACTTTTACTAACTGACCTTGAAACTTCAATAAAAATTTCGTAAGAGATTAAAGATGGTCTAGCATAACAATGACACAATTATCTCAATATTTTTCGTCTTGCCAATCAAAGTTTGAGGACACACCATAGTTATTTTATATATAGTTAGACAATGAAAAGAAAAACTGTAAACAAGAATAGACCAATTTCCTTTTGTTTGATTTATTTTTCTTTTCAACAAATTCAATTTTGTCATCACCAGATATGAACAGAAAATATTTAAAATTTCATATCATCAAAAGGTCTAGCTATGGTATATGTTATATAGATGTCAAACCTAGGAATCTGATGGCAGAAATTCCTTTTCACAAAACCTGTAAAGCAACTATTCACTTCTAGTCTTTTAGGACACCAGTTACAGCTGCCAGTCAACTACCATATGTTAGCCATTTCACCTCATTTGCCCAGTATAATCAAACCCTTTACCATTAAAACGAAATCAGCCCCAAGCCATCACCTTTTTGCTATGAGGAAATTAATGCTTTAAACATCAAATTCATTAATGCTTTGGCAGACTGTTACAATTACTAATTAAAGAACTATAATCTCTGACTTAGGAATGGTCCCAACGTCAAGGCTTATGTATCACAGCACTAAAGATATGTAACAAACATTGAAAAAAGGAACAGTACACAGATGTGAGTGAACATATGAATGCATAACGATGCCAGACAGAATATTTATGATATGATAAAAAAATATTGAAATTACCATTCTTAAAATCAAAAGCATTATGTTTAGAGTATGTATCTTTAATCTTCTGGCTTGTCCAACTAATAAGCATTTTATAATATGCATTAGCTTGGATTGTTAATCCTGGAAAAAAAGAAATGGAGTATTAGTATGAAGCACAGACCCAACAACTAATGGAAAAAAGAAACATCCTATGAATAATAGACAACTCAAGAAATTACAAAACTAAGCTGTATTTTATTATCTTAATCTGATTCTTTTGAAAAGGACAAGGAAAACTATTCTGCACAAGCCTACATAGAGTGCACCATGCAGCACAAGAAGCTTTGGTAAAAGAATAATGCATAATCAGCTAAACCATTATGCTTGTAGAATTAATTGTTCCATCTTTTTAAATGATATATTTTAGATAATTGCAAATATTGAGTTACAATAAGATAATATTAGATACTGTAATGATTATTGATATTAAGTGAGATAGAAGTAAGGAAAATATGCTTAAGAGAGTGATTCATCTCTTAGGTCATTCATTCATTTATAGAAGTTCCTTACATAAACTATACTAAAATGTAATGATCGGTGCTACACAAATAGGTCAGATAGGAATACTATGTGTTGTTAGTAGAATATTAAATGCATTATTGAAAGTTGTTGGTAGGATATTAAATGTATTACTAGAAGCTTCTAGAAGTTGTTAGAATATTCTAGAGATCTCTTTGTAATTATTATTTTAGGATTTGAGTTCTCTATATATAGAAGTTGTGCGCTATTTCAAATTAATTAAGTAGATAAGAATCTTCTTTCTTTCAAATCAATCCTTTCAAGTCTATGCATAATTTAACCTATTATAATAATTATCACTAGGATAAGTTCTAACCTGACTCTGATACTATGTTAAGAAGTGGACTCTACTTCTAACTCAACCCCACAAAACCGGCTTGTAAGGTGAGGTTTGCACCCACTTATATACTCTAAATTGACCTTATCTTTAGTCGATGTGGGACTTCCAACATAACCCATCCAGATAAGTTACACAATTATGAAATTCTCCCTCAAACTAGAGCATACAAAATGTACTTACCAAACTTGGAGTGTATAATTGAATTTGAGGTACTATGACTTTGCTTTGTGACAATAAATCAACTATTAGTATTGCTCACAATTTTTTCCATAGCAATAGAACCAAGCACAAAGAGATAGATGGACATTTCATCAACTATTTATAAAGGGACTTCCCATACAACAATTTCATGATCTTACATGCAAGTTGAGAATGATTGACATCTATTAAGAAGTTGACATTAAGCCTATCTCAACCCTACAAAACCAACTTGTAAGGTGATGTTTGCACCCACTTATATACTCTAAATTAATCTTATCTCTAGTCAATGGACATCCAACACACCCCCAAACGTAGAAGTAAATATGTTAGGATATAGGGTATTTGGGATATAAGGGTATAATGGGAAATGGGATTAGGATAGAAGGTAGAGGAATTGTATAAATAGATTGTTTGGATAGTTAGAAGGGAGGAGTTTTTGAGTACATTGATTGTAAACAAGTTATGACCTGTGAAGAGGGTTAAGCCTCTGAATTCTTCCTGTACAAACACTCTTACTGGAAATAATATTCAGTTTTCTCTCTTTCTTGTGTCTTCTTGGTGAGTGAGAGAGTCTTTGATTAGGTTCCCAATTCAGGAACCTATCAATTGGTTCAACCTGTCGGATCCCAATTCGAAGAGGTGAAGTCGCGCATGATGGACGGAAGAGTGGCGACAGTAGAAGGGCAGATGGAGACGGTAGAGATTGCGATAGCCGAGACGAAGGCTGATACGGTGTTCTTGCGGCATGAAACCGGGGCATTGAGGCAAAATTACGAAGCAATGCGCCAAGATATCCAAGCGATCCTGAAGATGTTAGGGGATCGCAATCGCGACCCACACGGGCCACGCCGAGAGGGAAGTCAATCCTCTGTGAACGAGAACGAGGGCGGACCGGAGGNGATTTCTTATATGAATGAGCACACAGTTTTCTTTTGAAATTTTTTGACTAGATTGTGTTCAACGAACCATTAAATATGACCAAGTTAATTGGTATAGGTAGTTGGAGAGTGTATAAATGTTAAGACGTGTAGAAGTTGACCAAGTTGTTAGCAAGCACAAATGAGGCTAAGAGCACCTGTCACTTAAGTTATCCATTGAATCACCAATGTCAGAACGTCCCGCTCATTGTATCGTGCTTCTGTTCTTCCAACATAAGCAAAAGTTCGTCCTTGTGTACAATCTTTGGCTTTTTACCCTTCTCCACAATAAAAACTCCCTCTGATACCCTTTCATCTTCAACTTGGACCATAGGCATTAAGCTCTTGCCTATCGTAGTAGAGTTACATGCGTCCGCAGAACTACATTTCTGAAATGTGAAGTTTGGACTCAAGCAGCTTCGAATGAAAGTGTCTGAGGCTTCTGCATTTACAGAGTGAGTTGAAGAAATGCATATGGTTTCATTGTTTGCAGGATCATAACATTGAATCCCAAATTCAGAATGAATCTTTTCTTTAAGGGAAGCCATCTTATGCTTCTCTCCATGCACTAGAATAACGTGCTTGGGGGTGAGAAAATTTACAAGATCCATTATCCCTTTAGAATCAGTGTGAGGACTAAAAGCTAATTGATGAACCTGCCAATTTAAGACGAGTCGAAGTTATACCAGAAACTAGATGAAATGACGCAGTTACCTTCAATGCTAATTTGTACAATATAGCAGAAGACTACAAGGCTTTCTTGTTTTTGGATATTCAAGCAATTCAAGACTAGAAAGACACTAATTTAAATTTAAGCAGTATTACAATATCATCTTGGTCTTATTTTTATAGCAAACAAGTCTTCAAAACCAAATTTCAAGATAATAGGAGGAACATTGATAGGTGACAGCGACATAGATTAGTTGAAGTGGAACATGAAACTTAAAATCAGTTTATGCCCAGTGTACCAATATCAACTCAAGAAGAGGACAAAATTTTCTATTACAGAACAGAGAAGTGAAAGAAGAAATATGGTTTCAGTTGTATATTAATATGAAAAAGGTCATGTCAGAAGCATACTCATCATCTCAAACACCAAGCTCAGGAAATTAGACTAATGTAATACTCTGAAAGTCAAGATGTTTATTCTCCTAATTTCAACGTGCAAATTTATCAACTTGTACATGCTGTTAACTCTGTTTCTACCCATGCCATGTGAAGCATCTTTAAACTGGAGTTCGTAAAAATAATGAATTGCTAGATATATCTCCCTGTAATTGGGTAGGGAATAATATTTACCTGGCATCGCACATCTATTCTTGTATTAGCATCCAGATCAACTTTGGCCCGCTTATCTGACATTAATTTATGACCTATCGTTCCAGCCACACAATACCTACAAGAGTACAAAGTAACTGACTAGCAGAATACAACTGGTTTGCGAATATATGAAAATGGAATAGATCAATCATACTTTTCTGGTATACATTCATACATATTTTGCTTAAAAAGAAAAAGAATACTAAGAGACAGTAAAACGAATGGCAAAGGAAAGTCTCTCCATGCACAGAATACATGTAGTGCCATGGTGTAGAATGCAGAAAGACAGAACCATGAAATAAATAAAAAATAAAACATAAAAACTATACATGAGAGAAAACACAAAAATCCGTAGTTACACCTAAAAGCAATACCAACTTCCACTAGTATGACACCTTGTTTCCCCTCAAATTCTCACCAATCTTTACCTTGTGCTCCTTCGCCTTATCCACAACTTTCTGTCACTGTTTTTATTATTTTTCCTTCCTCTTTTTTACTTGTCTAATTATTTTACCGAAGTCCTTTCTTTGCACAAAATCTGTAGTTTTATTTTCTTTTAATTGAAAATAAATGATATAGAAATTGAAATTATATTTTGATTATCAAAAAGTAGTTAGATTCTTTATTTGTCAAGCATGACAACCAACAGTTACAATTTTGAATAGTCTCTCTCAAATATTAGGGTAGAATTGAATAATTTTATTACTAAGAGTACATAAGATAGGAAAACTGATTTTGGGAATATAATAATAACACTTGATGTAATCAAATCCCTATTATTCAGGGGTATAACCAGATCCCTATCATTCAGGGATATTTACATCATACACTTATTATAATCTGTTAAAATACGAAATAATAAACTATAATTGCTAACAGTCTCTAATACATTAATTTGAGGAGTTTTCTCTAAATCATGAAACCTCAACCTAGGCTTGCCCCTTCAAGCATTACACATTACGATATATGTTGGTCCATATGCCATCCAATAATAAATGATCTTATCCTTCAATTTTTTTAATTTTTGGGTAAAATGAAGGATTTATGCATGGATGGGCTGAGTAGTTAGTGAGTAAATTGATTTAATTGCAACCAGTAAAATAAATAATATAATGGAAATCGTGAACGTAAAATTTTTAACTTTTATCTAAAACAATCGTGTGAAATAATTCCTATGCTTTTAAAAAACAATTTCACTCGTACACATCCAAAACAATCATTTGCATTTCAATTTCTAAATTTCTTTCCATCCAAAAAATGTGAACCAGTCACTTCCTAGAGTGACATGCTATCACCAATGTATATGCATGTACCAGAAGTTTTAGTCAAGCGTGATATTTATCATTAAAGGGCAGTATTAAAATAGCTTCGTATCCATATACTATTCAATGTGACAAGTTAGTTTTAGGAAACATTTATCTGCATTATGCTCATCGTGCTATCAAGTGGCTAATATAAAGAGAAATAAAGTAAAGAAAAAGAAGAAATAGGATTGTACCCTGGCAAAGTGACAAGGTTATTTTCTGACACTGCCCACTGCTTAAAAACTTCAAGTGAAAATCCACCGCTTATCATCCCAGGAGTCGCGAAAAGAACACAAGGACCAGGAGCATTTATCATAGACCTTTCAAATTTTTGAACTGTAACACCCAAACCAGATGAATGAGACGTAGAACTTATCAGATAATACACATAATTGCAACAAAAGCTCTAATCTTAATTTCTTGAGTTTTCACAAAAAAGTTTCAATATGGATGCATTTGAATAAGTTTGTTTTAAAGTAAAAATAATATATGCCATATTAGCAAAATTTCATATATTTCCCCATGATACTCCATTAGGACTTCTACTTTTACTACTCCAGACTTTTACTAACTGACCTTGAAACTTCAATAAAAATTTCGTAAGAGATTAAAGATGGTCTAGCATAACAATGACACAATTATCTCAATATTTTTCGTCTTGCCAATCAAAGTTTGAGGACACACCATAGTTATTTTATATATAGTTAGACAATGAAAAGAAAAACTGTAAACAAGAATAGACCAATTTCCTTTTGTTTGATTTATTTTTCTTTTCAACAAATTCAATTTTGTCATCACCAGATATGAACAGAAAATATTTAAAATTTCATATCATCAAAAGGTCTAGCTATGGTATATGTTATATAGATGTCAAACCTAGGAATCTGATGGCAGAAATTCCTTTTCACAAAACCTGTAAAGCAACTATTCACTTCTAGTCTTTTAGGACACCAGTTACAGCTGCCAGTCAACTACCATATGTTAGCCATTTCACCTCTTTTGCCCAGTATAATCAAACCCTTTACCATTAAAACGAAATCAGCCCCAAGCCATCACCTTTTTGCTATGAGGAAATTAATGCTTTAAACATCAAATTCATTAATGCTTTGGCAGACTGTTACAATTACTAATTAAAGAACTATAATCTCTGACTTAGGAATGGTCCCAACGTCAAGGCTTATGTATCACAGCACTAAAGATATGTAACAAACATTGAAAAAAGGAACAGTACACAGATGTGAGTGAACATATGAATGCATAACGATGCCAGACAGAATATTTATGATATGATAAAAAAATATTGAAATTACCATTCTTAAAATCAAAAGCATTATGTTTAGAGTATGTATCTTTAATCTTCTGGCTTGTCCAACTAATAAGCATTTTATAATATGCATTAGCTTGGATTGTTAATCCTGGAAAAAAAGAAATGGAGTATTAGTATGAAGCACAGACCCAACAACTAATGGAAAAAAGAAACATCCTATGAATAATAGACAACTCAAGAAATTACAAAACTAAGCTGTATTTTATTATCTTAATCTGATTCTTTTGAAAAGGACAAGGAAAACTATTCTGCACAAGCCTACATAGAGTGCACCTTGCAGCACAAGAAGCTTTGGTAAAAGAATAATGCATAATCAGCTAAACCATTATGCTTGTAGAATTAGTTGTTCCATCTTTTTAAATGATATATTTTAGATAATTGCAAATGTTGAGTTACAATAAGATAATATTAGATACTGTAATGATTATTGATATTAAGTGAGATAGAAGTAAGGAAAATATGCTTAAGAGAGTGATTCATCTCTTAGGTCATTCATTCATTTATAGAAGTTCCTTACATAAACTATACTAAAATGTAATGATCGGTGCTACACAAATAGGTCAGATAGGAATACTATGTGTTGTTAGTAGAATATTAAATGCATTATTGAAAGTTGTTGGTAGGATATTAAATGTATTACTAGAAGCTTCTAGAAGTTGTTAGAATATTCTAGAGATCTCTTTGTAATTATTATTTTAGGATTTGAGTTCTCTATATATAGAAGTTGTGCGCTATTTCAAATTAATTAAGTAGATAAGAATCTTCTTTCTTTCAAATCAATCCTTTCAAGTCTATGCATAATTTAACCTATTATAATAATTATCACTAGGATAAGTTCTAACCTGACTCTGATACTATGTTAAGAAGTGGACTCTACTTCTAACTCAACCCCACAAAACCGGCTTGTAAGGTGAGGTTTGCACCCACTTATATACTCTAAATTGACCTTATCTTTAGTCGATGTGGGACTTCCAACATAACCCATCCAGATAAGTTACACAATTATGAAATTCTCCCTCAAACTAGAGCATACAAAATGTACTTACCAAACTTGGAGTGTATAATTGAATTTGAGGTACTATGACTTTGCTTTGTGACAATAAATCAACTATTAGTATTGCTCACAATTTTTTCCATAGCAATAGAACCAAGCACAAAGAGATAGATGGACATTTCATCAACTATTTATAAAGGGACTTCCCATACAACAATTTCATGATCTTACATGCAAGTTGAGAATGATTGACATCTATTAAGAAGTTGACATTAAGCCTATCTCAACCCTACAAAACCAACTTGTAAGGTGATGTTTGCACCCACTTATATACTCTAAATTAATCTTATCTCTAGTCAATGGACATCCAACACACCCCCAAACGTAGAAGTAAATATGTTAGGATATAGGGTATTTGGGATATAAGGGTATAATGGGAAATGGGATTAGGATAGAAGGTAGAGGAATTGTATAAATAGATTGTTTGGATAGTTAGAAGGGAGGAGTTTTTGAGTACATTGATTGTAAACAAGTTATGACCTGTGAAGAGGGTTAAGCCTCTGAATTCTTCCTGTACAAACACTCTTACTGGAAATAATATTCAGTTTTCTCTCTTTCTTGTGTCTTCTTGGTGAGTGAGAGAGTCTTTGATTAGGTTCCCAATTCAGGAACCTATCAATTGGTTCAACCTGTCGGATCCCAATTCGAAGAGGTGAAGTCGCGCATGATGGACGGAAGAGTGGCGACAGTAGAAGGGCAGATGGAGACGGTAGAGATTGCGATAGCCGAGACGAAGGCTGATACGGTGTTCTTGCGGCATGAAACCGGGGCATTGAGGCAAAATTACGAAGCAATGCGCCAAGATATCCAAGCGATCCTGAAGATGTTAGGGGATCGCAATCGCGACCCACACGGGCCACGCCGAGAGGGAAGTCAATCCTCTGTGAACGAGAACGAGGGCGGACCGGAGGCGGAGAGAGGAAGACGAGGAAAAGGGCAACAAGACGGACAAATTAATTGGAGAAAACGGGTGGAGTTACCCGTGTTCGAAGGTGGCGAACCGTGGAACTGGATCAGTAGGGCGGAAAAGTTCTTCGAGGCGCAGAGAGTGGACGAAGACGAGAAATTACAACTGGCCTTCATTAGTATGGAGGGGTATGCTGGGAGTTAGTTTCGATTTTGGAGAGAGAAAACCAAGAATCACTCTTGGGAAGGGTTGAAGAGAGCTTTGGGGATTAGGTTCGGGGGAGGAACACGGGGAACGGTGTATGAGAGGCTATCGGCCATTACGCAGGTCGGGACGGTGGAGGAATACGTAAGAGAGTTCGAAGTGTTGGTGGGGCAGACCACCAAAATTCCAAAGGAACAGATTCTGGGCTACTTCATGGCGGGACTCCAGGAGGAGGTGGGCAACCATGTCAGGCCGCATGATCCCCAAGACTTGATGACAGCCATGCGAGTCGCGCGTGATGTGGAGAAATTAGGTGCGCATACGAAGACGGGAGGGGGATCGGCGCCCAAGAACCAGAGTTCGTGGGGATGAACGGCAGGGGTGGTGGCGCGAGTAGAAATCCAACGCGATACGCAGAGTCAAGGAGGGGCCGCGGAAAGTGTCGATTCCGTGAAGAAAGAGGCGACCCCCGGAGGCGGCGCCGCAAGAACCACTGGCAACCGGAGGGAAAGGAATACCCGCAACCTACCATATTCGGAGTACGTGAAAAGGAGAGAAGAGGGAAGATGCTTCCGGTGCGGAGGGCCTTTCAGCCCAGGTCATCGATGTCCAGAGCAGGGATTGCGAATGTTGATCTTTGCCGAAGAAGAAGAGGAAAATTTGCCACCGCCCAAGCCCCCTGACTTGAATTGAAGGGCAAAGCCAGTGGGTTTCCTTCATATGGTAACCCGATGAGGAAGAGGAGCCATGAGACCAAGCTTCCCCATTCCAACCTTGAGGACAAGGTTGTTCTGCAGCGGGGTGTAATGTTAGGATATAAGGGTATAATGGGAAATGGGATTAGGATAGAAGGTATAGAAATTGTATAAATAGATTGTTTGGATAGTTAGAAGGGAGGAGCTTTTTAGTACATTGATTGTGGACAAACCTGTGAAGAGGGTTAAGCCTCTGAATTCTTCCCGTACTGTACAGACACTCTTACTGGAAATAATATTCAGTTTTCTCTCTTTCTTGTGTCTTCTTGGTGAGTGAGAGAGTCTTTGATTAGGTTCCCAATTCAGGAACCTATCAAAATACATCTCGAGCGTGGAACTAGACATTAATGGATGGTCCGATAACGGCCTGATAACAGGTAGAACAATATTCCCAACAAACAAATCTCGCTAAGATAGACTCTAAAAATGGCTCTAAAACCATGTTAAGAAGTAGACTTTAAGCCTAACTAAATCCTACAAAATTGGCTGATAAGGTGAGGTTTGCACTCACTTATATATTCTAAACTGGCTTTATCACTAGTGGATGTGGGACTTCCAACACACCCCCTTCAGACAAAAATATATACATATCGTGCGTGAAACTAGACATCAATAGATGGTCCGATAGCAGGTGGAACAATAATCAACAAACAATAAATCTCGTTAGGATAGACTCTAACAATGGCTCTAATAACATGTTAAGAAGTAGACTTTAAGCCTAAGTCAACCTTACAAAATCAATTTGTAAAGTGAGGTTTGCAACCACTTACATACTTTAAACAAGTCTTATCTCTAGTCGATGTGGGAGATCTAACATCCATGTACCAACTTGAAGGAAAGTGTTGAGCTATGAGAAGATATTATTAGATACAGTAAATATTAATATTAAGATATATTAAGGATACAAAGAGTCGTTATTTCATTAATAATGATCTCTAGGGTGATTAAATAACCTCTTGTACTTGTTTCAAACTAAGAAATGAGAATCAGAGTTTATGTTGTCTTCCCCTACATCTCTTTAAAGTGTATATTTACAATTATGTTATAATAACTGTCTTCTTTGAAAATTAAGTGAAAATCATCATTATAATTACAGAAATTGACAACAATAGCTATTCATATATTTGGGAGGGGAAGAATGACAACTTCTCTGTATACATTGAAAGTTATCATTATAATGACAATAATATATTTTATGATATCCAAAAAGTAGGGGCAGAATGTTGAATAGCATAGTAATCCCTAAACTAACAAAAGTCTCTTAATCTATCATAATCATTCTCCCCCTCTAAGATATTGTGTTGATATTCTAACAATATAAACCAACAAAAAATATTTCTATATTTGCAATTATAAATTCTGGATTTTTATTTAATCAGAATGTAAAAGTTTCCATAATAAATCATTCAGGGAGATTTCATCCAAGGAATCTCCAACCTTCTCCGTTGATCCTCACTAATTACACTAGGTTGCTGTCATCTCCATTTTCTGATTCATCTGAAACTGCCCCACCCAATGAGGCTCTCATCATCAAACATTTTCCAGAACCTCATTGGTTCTTATTCCAGCTTGCTCCCTTCATGCTTGTTTTTTATAGGATATGAACGAAATATACAAAAAGCAGAGATTTAAAAAAAAAAGAAATGTGTGCTGAGCAGAAGACAGATCCTTATTTAATGTATTGAATATACATAATATCTTTACAAAAGTAATTGTGAAACTGAGGAAATAAGATAAAATCTTGTTTTCTATAAATGGGAAGGATTATAGTGAAATGATTATGTATAGTTTATATATACAAAAACAATAGATCAAAGAAAGATCATTGACACAAAATTATAGGCTGAAACGAACCTGCTGAGAAGTAGATAGGAACCTGCAAATTCATGCGTTCCCAGTAGTCCTCCAACAAAATGCATAGTTCCTAGATATTGTAACAGCTTCGTGAATATAAGACAACCACTACATATATATCATAGTTTTGAAAATTGAACTGGTCACTAAAAGACATCAATTTCAGTGGGCATGGTTTATTAATATAACCTTAGTGAAATTGTTCTTTTGTCAAGTCTTTTAAATTATATATAAGTATAAATATATATATATATATATATATATATATATATATATAAGTATAAAGTGCTTGTGTGGGACAGCTTAAATTCTAGGAAATTATCATTTAATTTTTCAATGATCTCCCAAAAATACAAGCAAGAATAAGTGATAATTTCTTCAAAATATGTTGAACCAAACACAAACTTAGAATTTATAAGAGAAATAGTTGCTTGGACTTCATCCATCAGCTATAACAAAGGGAAGGATAAATTACAAACAGTGAGATGAATGGCAATCATAATAAGAATACCTGAGCTCTTCCAAGAGCAAATGTTGGAATAAGCACCTTGCCTCCACATGATACACATTTATGAACCTAAATAATTTAATTTGAAAATTAGTACCCAGCATCAGAGTAGGTGGATTGAGTTCATTTTGAAAAACAAAAGCAAAGAATTGAAAGAGACTCAACCCCACAAAACCGACTTGTAAGATGAGGTTTGAACCCACTTATATACTCTAAATTAGCGAGTGGAACAATATGTCCAACAAACAACAAATATCGCTAGGATAGGCTCTAACAATGGCTCTAATACTATGTTAAGAAGTGGACTTTAAGTCTAACTCAACCCCACAAACTCCGCTTGTAAGGTGAGGTTTGCACCTACTTATATACTCTAAATTGGCCTTATCTCTAGTCATTGTGGGACTTCCAACACTCAATAATCAAGTCTACCTTTGCAATAGGAAAGGCACTCTATTTATAGTTTGAGACCGGTTGATTAGGCAAGAGGAGGGAAATTCAAATTTAAACTAATCCTAATTAGCTCCTTAATTTGGTGCCACTAATTATTGATCTATGAGTTACATATTTCACACGTGCCTAATGCTGAATGTGACCCTGTTCTAGAAGCTCAAGATGTGTTGCACTCTCTTCCTTGCTCTTTAAGTCACGCGCTCCTCTCCTCAAATGGCCAAACCATGTGTGCCTCTCTAGTGGGCCCAAAGGCAGCCTAACCTCCAATGCTATGTGCACTCTCCTTTATTGGACCTTAATGGAGAAAAGGGATACAGGCCCGAACTCTTGCTGAGTCATGCTTTGGGTTATTCTTCTGGACCCTGAGCTAGATCACTAAGTGCTGAGCTATTCAGAATTTCATCATCATATTACACATTTTTTTTTCTTAAAGTAATAATAGCAAAAGTATGACAAGAAAGGACTGGGAAAGTGAGATCAACAATGTTTTTTTTTTAAAGAAATGTCTGAAAGAAAACAAGACATCATATTACACAAGCAGCATCACATCATAAATTAAGTATTGCAAATACATACAGCTTTGAGGAATTCCCTCTCTCGAGCATATCTTGAATCACGAATTGTAGTCGCATATGTGGATCTGAAATTATTTTCTTTTAGAATCATATAAAAAATGTATCCAAGAAAATCAATCTTATAACTTCAAGCAGTAAATCCAATATAGGATTCATGCATTTAAAACCCATTAAACCATTAAGCAAAAAGAGGAAAGAAAGTGAAGATAACACAGATAAACTACTGTACCTTGGTAACATAAGACAATTGCATAATGTTTATGAAAAACTACCATGGACTGTACTAATCTAACAAATTTTATATCTGACATAGGTAGTTAGCCACAAAATCCTTCATCCAAACAGCTAACAAATACCAGAGAATTCAGTTTAAAGATCCAAAAATTTCACAACTTTGGTTTACATTTCATATGGGCAGAAACTCATTCTTTTACAATTACGATGATGCCTCTTAGGCACGGATGAAGAATTTACTAAATAGAAATAAAACCAATGATGTTTATTACTGGAACTGTTGGAATACCATGCAAGTGATGAAGTAATGGGAATTATAATAATTAAACGGATTTTGCCTCAAAACAGTAATAATGAAAAAATAAGACAAAAATAATTGATCACATGACCTCTTGGTCACATATGGTTTGAACAATTCAAGAACCAACATCTCAAAAGTTTAGGCTATTAGGTACTAGAAAAGGAATAATTCGCATTTCTAACAGTAATATCAATATGAGAATGAGTTAGTAATGATAATGCATGCAGATAAATAGTCTGTGAAAAGTATGTTCAAAACTTAAAATAATTGTAGAAAATGGAGTAAAAGATAAACAAGAAAAGAAGATTTATCACTGACACTACAATATTGATAACTTTGTTATAAGGTTCATTTATACAACCAATGATGTTCTTACTCAGTTATAAGAAGGTCAAGTCGTAATCTATCAATTTGAGCTGCTCCAAGGTGTCTATCCGGTGTCATATTGTAGTCTCCAGTATAAACCATTTCTGCATCTCCTACTTTTGCATAGAACATTGCAGCTCCAATAACCTTATCAAAACAATGTGCTTAAGTACTAAAACGAAGGCATTGAAGGAAGGAAAATCTACTATAAGAAGTTAGAAAACTCTGATTCTATTTCTTAATCCAAACAGTACAATGGAGTACATTATATAGAGAACTCTACCATCTTAGAAATAATTACAATAATTAATAATAATTCTTTTTATCCCTACAATATTTTAACAATAATTAATAATATCTTCTCTCCTAACTAGACACTCCCCCTTAAGCTGATGAACATGAAAGATCAAAAGACTGCCCTTGGCCCCTAAGTACAGATAAAGGTACAACTGGAAGTAGTTCGCAACACACTACTCCCTACTTTTAGACTTTAATAATTACTCTAACATACATAGACTTAGTAGTTATTCTAATACTCTTCCTCAAGTTAGAGCATACAAATTGTATGTATCAAACTTAGAACAAATGAACTCAATCTGAGGTCTCCTTAAGGACTTGGTCAACACATCTTCAAGTTGGTCATTTAATCCAACAAACTCAGTAAAAAATTCTTTAACAATTTTTCTCAGATGAGCCAATAGGTATAGGAACCTTGACTTAGAACAAGGTGCATGCAATATCCCAAGGGATGTGTGCTGTGACAATAGAAAAGGCCAGTCTGCCTTACTATGTGTCAGTCCAAAGGATTGAACAATGTGGTTGAACTTTCTGTTAGAAGTGGACTTTAAGACTAACTCAACCCCACAAAACAGGCTTGTAAGGTGAGGTTTGCACCCACTTATATACACTGAATTGGCCTTATCTCTAGTCGATGTGGGACTTCCAACACACCCCCTCACACCGAGGTATATACATCTCGAGCGTGGGATTAGACATTTTAATGGGTGGTCCGATAGCGGGTGGAACAATATGTCCAACAAACAACAAATTATCGCTAGGATAGGCTCTAACCATGGCTCTGATACCATGTTAGAAGTGGACTTTAAGCCTAACTCAACCCCACAAAACCGGCTTGTAGGGTGAGGTTTGCACCCACTTATATACACTGAATTGGCCTTATCTCTAGTCGATGTGGGACTTCCAACACTTTCCAAACCTTGAACAAGGAGATTGCTTCAAACCACAGAGAGAGCAGCACAACTTACAAACCAAACAAACTCCCTTTGAGCAACAAACCCAAGAGGTTGCTCCATGAATATGAATTGTGAACCTAACCTTGATGGCTTACACATTATATTGAGAAATGGAACTCAGTCTTGTACCAGGTATCCTATTTCTCATTTTGTGACTTCTAAAAACATATTTATGTAGTACGAGAGTTTCCTCTCTACCATTGACGCAATTAGAGTCCCTACTTCAGTTCAAGAAGCACTGAAGGATGAGAATTGGGTTCGAGCCATGAATGAAGAGATGAGTGCCTTAAAAAAGCCAAACATGGGAAATTGTTAACAGGACACTTAATAAAAAGGTCGTAGGAAGCAAATGGATTTATAATGTAAAGTATAAATCTAATAGCGCACTAGAACATTACAAAGCAAGGTTAGTTGCTAAAGGATTTACTCAAACTTATGGTGTTGATTATGAGGAAGCATTTATTCCTGTGGCAAAAATGAATATTATTAGAATTAGTCTCTCATTGGCAGCTTATTTTGGTTGGGAATTACAATTTGATGTGAAAAATGCTTTCTTGCATGGACAATTAGAGGAAGAAGTCTATATTGAAATATCTCCAGGTTTTAAGCCTATTGACAAAGGGAATAAAGTATGTAGGTTGAAGAAAGCCTTGTAGGACCCAAGTAATCACCCCATGCTTGGTTTGGTAGAATCACTCAAGTTATGATCTACATGGGATATCGACAAAGTCAAGGTAACCATACTTTGTTCATCAAACATTTCTCATAAGGAAAACTTACTCTACTCTTGGGCTATGTTGAAATGATATGATTGTTGCAAAAAATGATGAACACAAGAAACAAATCTTTAAAGAAAAGCTTGTTGCTCAGTTTGAAATGAAGGATCTAGGAAAATTAAAGTACTTCCTCGGGATAGAAGTTACTTACTTGAAGAAAGGCATATTTATCTTCTAAAGAAAGTATGTTCTTGTTCTTCTCAAAGAAACAGGTAATCTTAATTGTAAGACCAATGGAGTTCCTATAGAACAAAACCATGGCATTTGGGAGTGATGAAGGCAGTTCTATTGTGAACAAAGGCTAATATCAAAAACTTGTAGGGAAGCTCATTTACTTAGCTCACATAAAACTTGACATAGCCTAGGGTGTTAGTATAATTAGTCAATTCATGCATGATCCAAGGGAGAGACATTTACAAGCTATAAACAAAACCTTCAATATTTGAAGAAAAGTTCAATGAGGGGATTATTGTTCAAGAGGAATGAAAAATTAAAAATGAAAGTGTATATTATTGTAGATTATGAAGGGTCTATCACAAATAGTAAATCCACCTCAGGATATTGTATGTTTTTAGGTGGAAATTTGGTAACTTGGAGAACTAAGAAACAAAATGTTGTTGCAAGGTCTAGTGCAGAGGCTGCATTCTAAGCTAGGCACATGGAGTGTGTGAATTGTTATGGCTGAGAATTATTCTAAATGATCTTAAAGTGACATATGAAGAACCTATGATTATTTATTGCGATAATAAGTCAGCTATTAGAATTGCTCACAATCCACTCTAGTATCAAACGCATAAAGATATATCGACACTTTATTGAAGAAAAACTAGATAGTGGTGTTATCATTACTTCATATGTTCCATTTGGGCATCAATAAGCATATTTATATTTGTTCACAAAAGATCTTCCCATTGAGGGATTTCATGATCTCACATGCAAGCTAGGAATGATAGATCATTCACCAACTTGAGGGAGAGTGTTGTTAGTAAGATATTAAATGTTCTACTAGAGGTTGTTAGAAGCTGGTAGAAAGTTCTAGAGATCATTTTGTAATTATTACTTTAGGGTTAGAGTTTTGTATATATAGATGCTAATGTACTATTTCAAATGAATCAAATTGAATAAAAATCTTTCTTTCATACTAATCCTTTCAAGTGATTACCATAATTTTTATTTTATTATGATTGTCGTCTAGCTAAAGATTTGATTTTTCAATTTTTCAGCATCTTATCCTCTTTCAACTTATAAACACAAAAACTAAAACAGAACTTTTATGGTAAAAAATTTCACCAACATCTGATGCTATACTTTTTTCAGAACAGTAAACATGACTAAAGAGATGAAGTCACAAGCCTTACATGTCCTGCGTAATAGGCACGTATCTGCAAGTCTTCATCTACTTGTACAGTTTGCCTCAAATCAACAGCAGTAACTGCACATGGAATCAAATTAAATTACAATTTTAAAATGCAAACAAAAATGTAAATCATGTAAATGAAATCTACCAAGATTTATCAATTTGAAAAAACAAAACTTAAATGGCACATTTATAGGCTGAAAGATGAATCTTTTTCCTCCACTTAAAATCCCTAATACAACAGCTGCACACAATTCAAAGTTCAACAAAGTCAAAACTAGAATAGGCACCAATATTCCTAGTGGCATGTTTAAAGTAATAGTTGTCTAACCAACCTATAGATGGGGTACTTTAAATAAAAAGTGGATCCTACATTACCCTTCTTCATGCACTCAGCAATTTGATCAGATGAGAATAGCTCTTCCTCACCCCGCCGATCAACCATCACTTTGCGATAGTCTTCCAACATCAAAGGAGCCAAAGCTTTTGTTGGGTACTGTTTAAAATCAAATAAAACTCAAGTTAAATTTACTAATGTAGAATTATGACTTGGAAGCTAATGCTTATCGGTCCATTTAGTTTCACCTTCTTTTTTTCCTATTTTCAAAAATTTAAATATGTTTTCAAAAATGTGTATTCAAAGTTTCATTGATATTATAATCTTGCTCCCTAGACTTGCTTTTTGTGTTAGGCCCCGCATGAAAAAGTTGTATTTTTTTTGTCACTAAATAAATATATATGTGTGTGTGGAAATAGATCTCCACGTTTCCATAATTTATAAGGTAAGAGTATTTTTCTAATAGGAAATAAAACGAAAAACTATACAACCAATCAAAATGCAGAATTTTATACATGGAAAGACCAAAACTAAGATCATTTTTCACATGGGAATTTAAACACAAAACGGCATCAAGGATAAAAATATTTGCAACTTGAGAAAACAAAAGCGGGCTGTTCTATGAAGAGTTTTGAAAAAGGATCAAATTATGGTTCTTTTAGGCAGGGGGTAGGAACAAAAAAATTAGTGAAGCACAGTAAAAGTTTATAGCTAAATTAAACCCAAATATTTTAGTACAAATATTCAAATTCTGTTATATTAGACAATTCCATAAACTATTGTATATGTTCAGGTAAACATTTCATCAAACATGTAGCAGAAAAAGGACTCACCGTCATGTAAATTGGTCCATTATACCCACAAACTTCTGTGAAGTACGCTAAAGCGCCAACATGATCCAAATGACTGCCGAAATTTTTGAAATGACAAGGCAACGTCAAAATGCTAATAACAAGAAGGGTGAGGAGGTTAAACTCTTTCATTCTCTCCAAATTGTTGTCTCCATTTTATATTTTAGTCTCTACGAGAAAATGGCAAGTTTTAGCCTCTACATAAAATCTTGTAGTGGCTAATCATTCTCGGAAAGTTTTGTAGCAATTCTACAAAACGAAATGTTGTTATTGTTAGATTCTTAGGACAATCACAAGAAAAAACAAGAATAAGAGTGAAAGAAATAATGTGTATCATAGAAGGTTCTATATACAGACCAACGCGTAACACATACAAAGAATCTCTACATATAGAAATAGGAATAATAGAAGAACTGTCACAGCAAAGTAAGACAATGCAAGGGTTAGACAGTAGATGTTCAATCTAAACTTATCAACATGGTAGTAGATAGTTTTTTGTGTTGTTTATAAGACAATAACGATTTTAAAATTAGAACATCACAATTATCTTTCTCCAATATTAATGTTAATCTTACCAAAGGACTACAACTTACAATTTCAGTCTCTCTTTTGTATTGACATCAGAGCTAGACAACAACCTTCCAACATCGTAAAGATGTTACAAAACTTTCCGGTGGCACTGATAAAACTTGCAATTTTCTCGTTTAGAGACTGAAACTTAAAACGCAGAAACCAATACCAATCAAGAGAATAGTTTAACATCATAATAATTAAAAACAGGAAAATTCATAATGGAGTGACACAAACAAGTGGGTGATGATGATGCAAGTAATGGCAGAGTTGAAATCTTGATTGGGATCGACAAGGGTGAAATCAGGGTAACGACGATGGTCCAAGAACCCCATATGCATTCCACAATCAAACATGATTCGTTTGCCATTCATGGTTACCACCACGCAGCTCTTCCCAACTTCTTGACCAGCGCCTGCAAACAAATCATGTAGGGGTAAGGTTGATTCGTGTTCTTGCACCATAAGAGGGGGAATATGAACAAGGGAATACCTAACACTAGCGTATCAATCGCCATGAATGTGTTTGCTCTGAGTCTCTGTTCAAAACAGCAAAGTTTGGATTACGCCTCACAAGGGTTAAATATACTGCTACCTAGGAGTGTTGTCTGTGGCTCAATGGATGATGTTATTTTTTAAATTTAAATTTTTGAAAATATAAATAAATAAAAGAGTATAAAATAATAATTCAAGAAGTTATTTTCTTCCCCGGTAAGCTTATATCATACTCCCCTTTTCATTCCCTCCTTGTGACCTGTTTTTTATAATCATTGTTTTTAACAAATTTGTTATACTTCCCTCCAAATTGCCAAAACGTGAAAAAAACGTGTTGAGGGAAGAACAAAACACCACATTCCATTGTGCCTAGAAAAAAAAGAAAGTGGGCCGGGAAGCCTAAATAAAAAACAAAGAAATAAATAAAATAAAATAAGCCAAATAATTTTTAATTAAATTTTTATTTTTCTTTTTTTAATTTGCTTTATGCATTCTTAAATTTCTATAGCAAAATAATCTATTTTTTAATTAATTTTCTTTAATTAAAAAATATTACATTACACTTTTTATAATTATTATTATTAATTTATTTTTTTATTTTTTTATTTTTTTCTTTTACTTTTATTATTTATATATTTTTTTAATATTTTTATTTTTCATCTGGATGAGATTGAATGTTGACATTTCCAAAATGAAAAGACTTAATAAATTTTGGGCTTAATACCCTATTTTGTCCCAGTTTCGCTCGATAATGTCAAATTAGTCCATCCTTTAAAACGTGCGTCAATTACGTCCTTACTTAATAAAATTTATATCAATGAAATCCCTTCCGTTAAATCCGTACAAACGACGTTAATAGAAGAGAGAGAAAAATAATTAACGCCGTTTGTACGGATTTAACGGAAGGGATTTCATTGATATAAATTTTATTAAGTAAGGACGTAATTGACGCACTTTTTAAATGATGGACTAATTTGACATTGTCGAGCGAAACTGGGGACAAAATACGGTATTAAGCCTAAATTTTGTTAAGTTATGCTCTTTGGTATGTCTATTAGGTCGAGTAGGAATAGAAGTAAAACTCACTTTGTCACTAGATAGATTCTTTTTTTGGTATAATGATTTATTAAGGACAGAAAGAGAGAGTGTATAAGTTATCAACCCGGACACTCATGAATAGCTCAAACAATCAACTAATAAACCGAACGATTGACAATTAACTTGGACGGTCACTTAAAAGACTGAATGACTAATCATTAACCCAAATAGTCACCTAATTGATCGGATGACAGACTATCAATCTAGACGGTCAACTAACATACTAGACATCAGACCATTAACCCAGACAGTCAACTACCAAGTCGAACAGTCAACTATCAAGTCGGCGACAAATCACCAGACTAGACAGCCAACAACAGATTGAACGATCAATCACCAGAACGAATGGTCCAAATAGAACCAAAGTAAATCACCATAACTAGGTCAACCTTAATCAAAAGTCCGTCACAAAATCTATAAATAGAAATTTGAGGTAAGGAGGTAGGTCATTCGTTGCTTTTTGTCTAAGTTAATTTGACTTTAGTATTAGAGTATATCTTGTGCAAGTACCATCAGAGTAGCTTTGATCACGGAAGGCTCCTCAAATCGGACAAGACTTGGACTTGTGAGTGAACGTTTGCAGATCGAGTACTTGGACCTGAAGACTTAACCCTAAAGTACCTGAAAAACACTAGAAGGTGAGTTGAATGGTTTTAATGGAAAAATTCTTTTTGCAACCCTTCTGATATAACACGATTTCGAGCTTTAAGAATTTTTTTTTAAACGCTTAGACGCTCGACCTGATAAAGGATTACAACAAGAAATGCTTTTGTCGAGCTATTCATAATGTACATTGCAAAGTTTGTAAGAACTTCCTTTGTTTAAGAATAATCGTTTAACTTGGAAGCTTATTATATTTTAGAAATAAGAGCACAACTACAGGTTTTATGAGAAAAACGTTTAGTTAAGAGAAGAAATGAATGCACAAATATTTTATAATGATTCACTCCACATGAGCTACGTCCAGTCTCCTCCGCACAAGGTTCCACTATAATTTTCAACAATATTACAACTGAGTATTCTCATCACTTTTGGTCTCAGTCAGCGAATAACCACTTGTTACCCAAGATTTAATGAGTATTCTCACCACTTCTGGTCTCAGTCAGCAAATAACCACATGTTACCCTATAATGGATGAGTATTCGCACCATTACTGGTACTAAGCAACCTTGCCTAGATTTTCTTTAACTCAAATGAGTTCAACAAGTGTTTTAATTCTTTTCAAAATTGCAATCAAAGATTGCTTATAAGTCGTTTAAACTATTACTCTTGTAGAGAGGATGTAATTACAATACAATGCAGTCTAAACACTCGCAGGTGTTTCCCTCTTTTCTCTTGCTCTATTTCTTACAATCAATAACAATGAAGCTTGAGAGTATTTCTTTTCTTCTCTTTTCTCTTTTTCTACTCAAGTGTATTCTTTTTCTTAAGCTCTTTCTTTTCTTTTCTTTTGAACGCTTCTCATGATGAATATTTCGTTGTATGTTATCTTCTTAATTCTTTATTTGAAAGTTCTTCTATTTATAGGCTTTTTGGATGTATGTTCGTTAGACTAAGCTCTTGGTCTTGATTCTTGTGTTTTCTCTTTCTTCGTGTACAACAGTCGTTGGATAAAATCAACTTGTCATAAAAGATATGCTTTTTCAGTCCTTTATTTGAAGTAGGTTGTACGTTCTTTTAGACATGGCTTAAAGTGAAGAACATTATATGAATATCTCTTTTGTCTCTAACGTCCACTTCTGATAAGTTGATTTGAAGTTTGTGAATGCATGTAGAATAGCTCATCTGCAAAGAATATAGTAGATTGTGCATGCAACAAATATGTCTTTTCTTATCACTTTTGTTGCTTTTAAATGTTGATCATTTAATGTCATTTGATGCTTTTGCTTAGAACAACAAAGTGTTTTTTTATTTCCTACCATTGAGATAGCGTTTGACAGGTAAACTTTTCTTCCAAATATACAAAGCCTTGATTAAAAACTTCATCGTCTGACGAAGTAATGTTTTAGCTCATGGTATCGTTTAGGCAGAGTAAACACTTCTTGTGTTTTAAGTTTTAGTCTTTTAATGTGTTTTGTCAATG